GAAGGAAGGAAGGAAGGAAGGAAGGAAGGAAGGAAGGAAGGAAGGAACTTTTAAATACAAATATGCACACACACATAATAGCACTTAGACTTATATACCGCTTCACAGTTCTTTACAGCAGTTTACAAAATCAGCCTATTGCCCCCAACAATCTGGGTCCTCATTTTACCAACCTTGGAAGGATGGAAGGCTGAGTCAACCAGGAGCCTGGTGAGATTCAAACTGCCAAACTGCTGGCAGCTGGCAATCAGTAGAAGTAGCCTGCAGTACTGCATTCTAACCACTGCGCCACCGTGGCTCTTAGAGCTTCTGAACATGTCTTGTGTACATGACCCCATAGGTTGAGATACTCTGCAGACTTAGCGAACGGACAATCTCTTCTAGTGATAACTCAAGTTTACAATAACCCAAAGCTGCCATATATTAAGATTAAAACTTATAATCAAAAATTAATAGTTTTCAATGCAGATTAGGTGCTGGAGAAAAGATGGGTAGAAAAATTCTTATAGTACCTCTTGCACTGTTCCATCTCCCCCTGCAATGATGATCATGTCGGTGTTTTCCATCAGTTCCAACAACTTCTTTGCTTGCCCTTCATAATCTGTCTGAATTGCAAGAAAGGTCACAGAAACACATTGCATTTAACACTCTCCTGCATCAAATGAAAAACCATGTAATATATTCTTCATATAACCTTCACGATACTAGCTCAGCACAGCTTAACAATTGCAAGTTTTCCCACCCTTTCATTTTTAACAACCGCAACACCAAACTCAAGCCTTCCAAATGAATATATTCTGAAAGAGGCAAAATACCATTCTTAAACAATCTCAAATATTTCTTAGCAGTTTTGGGTTTTTTTTATTTTGATTCTTAAAGCAGAATCACCATCACTTCTGCCTGCATGCTGGGATAAATAGCTGATACTCCAAATTACTATATTATGTCTATCCTTCAGATACTTTAATTGAAAATTAAAGACTTAGCTATTTCTTTTAAAAAGATATAGTTTTTTTTAAAAAAAAACAGCAATTATCAACTAGGGTTTATTTTCTTTTTTTCCCTAGGAAAACCTGGGTTGTGGCTAAAATATACCAAAAATATACCCACCCCCACCCCCCAGAAAGAGATTCTGCAAAACTCTTGTTAGTCTTTACCTTCACCACAGTCACATCCAGACCAGATAAGTGGAGAATTGGGGCTGCATTCTTTTCAAAAAGAGTCCTGGCTTTGCTAGAAAGGAAAAAGTGCAGACAATTCATAAGGTTTTTGTTCAAATCAGTTGTGTTAGAGCAGAAAGGTCAAATTCATAACAACAACAACAACAACAACAAATCAAGATATGCAATATGTCCTTAGCAAAATCTAGCACTCAAGGAAACCAAACAGAAGCCATCATCTAAGGCAAGGGTCCTCAAACTTGGCAACTTTAAGACTTGTGGACTTCAACTCCCACAAGTCTTAAAATTGCCAAGTTTGGAGACCTCTGATCTAAGGGAACCAGTCTTGTTTTATCAATTAAACTCAGTGGCTATTTGATATTTCTCTTTATATGTCAAATGAGTCATCTGTCTATAGCTCTAAAATGCCTGTAATTCACATCTCTCATCTATAAAAACAAATCTGTGGGAAAGGAGATTAACAAAGAAATATATCAGGCAATGATGACATCAAACCCTAGATAATATACTTTATTAATTAAATTATGCTTTTATGCTGTCCTAAGAGTATCTCAGAGAATCAGTTTTATTTTAGGAAGGAAGGAAGGCAGGGGTGTCAAACTTGATTTCATTGAGGGCTGCATCAGGGCTGTGTTTGACCTTGGGGGGCCAGGTAGACGTCACTTGTGTCAGGGGCACCTGTGGTGGCCAAGTGCTAAGGTAGGACTCCCCTCAGACCTTCCCTCTCATTATAATCTCCTTCCTTCCTTCCTTCCTTCCTTTCCCTTCCCTTCCCTTCCCTTCCCTTCCTCCCCTTCTTTCTTCTTTATCCTTCCCCCTTCATTCTCCTTCTTCCTTCCCCTCTTTCCTTCTTTTTCTTTGTCTTCCTCCTCCCCTTCCTCCTTTCCTGTCCCTTCTTGGATGCTCAAATGCAGAAAGGGAAACATGTCTCCTTTTGTTTTCTTTTTAGTTTGTTTTGCTAGCCCCCTGCCAGGGAAAACAGAATCCAGAGGGCTGCACGGGCCCTCCCCAAGTCCCATTTTCAGCCATGATGGCTCCTGCAGCCCTCTGACAGCGAAAATGGAGCTCCGTTTTCGCTGGCAGAGGCACCGTGGGCCAGTCCTTCGCTGTTTCCAGGGCAGCCCCGCAGGCCAGATCTAAGCCTTGAGTTTGACACCCCTGAATTAAGGCATCAAGCTTGAAACAGGGAGATTGTGAGTTTTAGTCCTGTCTTAGGCACAAAGCCAGCTAGGTGACCTTGGACTAGTCATTTTCTCCCACACCTAGGAAGGTGGCAATAGCGAACCACTTAAGAAAAATCTTGTCAAGAAAGCTGGAGGGGGTTGAATGGAAGAAAGCAAAAGTGTGTCTTAGGACATCTTATCTGGTCCTTCACTTCCTCTCCCCAACAGCCCACCCACTTTTATCCTAGTAAACTTCCTGATGGGAGAGAAGGTAGGCAAATACACCGAATGCCTAGTTATTCTGTATTCTTCCTCTGTAAGCCAGGATTTGAATGTGGGTCTTCCTAGTCCTAAAACAATGCCCTCTCTGTGTTACTCCATTACTTTTCGTTAGTTTAAAGTGAAGAGTAGATGCTCTTAAAGATGATGATGTGAGATGTCTCTCCTATTCTTAAGAAGTCAGGTTAAATTTTCAGTTTTCCTAAGTCAGCTGTCACACCTGGGTTAACAAAGGGGGGGGGGGAAGTTGCTATATGTCACGTGATGCCGTGAGTTTGTTAAGATTTTGCTGAAGCTTCAGAACTGTTGTGGCCCACTGGCGGCTAGCGGAGTGAGGAGGTTGGGGAGGAACAGGGGCCAGTCCTAGAGGCTGAGGAAGGCTTGGATGAGGGCTCTGTGTCAGAGGCAGAGATGGGGCCAGGGCAAGCTTGGAACAGGCTCCAGCTGCTCCCCCGCCTCACTGCTGTCCGACTCCGGAAGCAGCTGAAAACTGCCAGCCTGCCCTGGCCGCATTCCTGCCTCTGATGCAGAGCTCTGGTCCGAGCCTTCCTCAGCCTCCAGGACTGGCCCAGGTTCTTCCCCAGCCTCCTCACTGTCCGACTCTGCTGCCAGCTCCACTAGCCGCTGGCGAGCCACAGCAAGAACAAAATGTAGAGATCTCCCCATTGTCATTGTCTTTTAACTAATTGGTTGGGAAGGATTTTGGCACATTTTAGTTACCAAATGCAAAAACTGGACATATTAGAAAAAAGGCAATGAAGACCAGAATTGGTGTCCTAATAAAAATCTTTCTGATAATATCAGTCCCTCTTTGAGGGAGACGGGCAATTCAGAAATGCAAAAAATAACTAACTAACTAAACTCTTTATCATTTTATCTAATCTTATCCTAATTAGGAATAGGTTGCTCCTGCACAGATACCCCATTAAAGCCCTTTGGAGGTAGATCTTGTCTTACGTCCATTCATTTAATGGTCATTCAAAGTTACAATGGCACTGAAAAAAAAAAGACTTACGACCAGTCCACGCACTTATGACCACTGCAGCATCTCCACAGTCATGTCACCAAAATTTGAACACTTGGCAACCAGCATGCATTTGTGATGTTTGCAGTTCCTGGGGGTCGATCCCAGGATGGCCATTTGCAATCTTGCCAGGTAGCTTCCAACAAGTAAAGTCAATGGGGAAAACCAGATTTGCTTAATGGGTCCCTATACCTGACCACATGATTCACTTAATAACTGCAGTGATTCAGATTTATTTAACCTGTTAGCAAACTTTTGAAATGTGAGATGAGATGCCTTTATCTATATAGTTCTGACTCAAAAACATGAACAGCTTCCATATAGCAAAGAGCTAGAAGTGAATTACAGAAATCCTGCATCCTTGCCAGTTCCAAAATCTACCAATGGCCAAATTTTCTGAGTTTGGTCCTCATCCCCCTTTAGGATTTCATGGCAGAGCAATGTGCAAACATTTCCTTCCTTCCTTCCTTCCTTCCTTCCTTCCTTCCTTCCT